AACAAACCCGATGGACTGAGACTTGCAACATTAAGTATTCAACTACGCAAAATTGGCACATGTTGCATTTGTAGATGTCATTCATGGCATTTTCCATTACATTTGGCAGTGGAGTAAGCTAATTCGGACTGGAGTAGTAGCTTGGCCACTCGTTGCATAGCTTCGGGAAACACCTGATGTTCCTTTTCACGAATCTTTGCATGTAGTGTTTCTTCGTCATCACCTTCGTCTATTTTCACCGCTTCTTGAACGATGATGGCACCGTGGTCGACTTGCTCCTGCAAACAAAAAGATTCAGGGAAATAATAGTGCTCTAAAATTTGCCCAAGCATCTAGGCTGAGCCACGTATCCGATATCTGGTCAATTCAAAGGCAGTTGGCACGATAATTTGGTACTCGGCCTAAAATGCTAGCAGGGCGCTATATAGTGGAGAAATGGCGAAAAAACGAAGTGAAATGGTAAAAAACCTGCCAAGGAAAGCCTAGTTACTCAGTGATTCAAAAGGCAATTTCGGACATATTTTACTTAGCAAACGAAGCAACACGACCGTCAGAACTGTCGTCCATTTATGAGCGGGCGGGTGCGGTGGGCGTCCATGTCGGTATGTTGCAACTTGATAGCTTCTTATGGATCCTCCTTGGAAAGCTCCGAGCAGACACTAAAGGACGTCGCGGAGTGTCTGCTCGGAGCGCGGAATTCCGACCAGCAAAAAATATTAATCGTACTCGTCTTAGGGATTTATCCTGCCAACTGCCTTTAAAGGCACATTCCACAATAAACTAAGGCTATCAGCTCTTGCTAGCTGATCCGGTAGGCGATTGTGGAGGCAACAGTTCGAAAAAAAAGTGAAAATTCGCAGGAATTCTGTTGAAGTGTTTATTTAGACTATTTGCACCCCTTAGGCCCATGCCAATCTCCAAAGGCTTCTAACTCTCACCATTCCGAATGGTGGGAGTGAAGTGACAAGTGATATCTATGATAACAACAAGCGAGAATTCGCATGCAGGGCGCATCCTCGGGTTTCCCAGCAGGGGCCAGTATCGACCCCTCTCATCCGTTTTTGGTCGCTGGATGAGGGGTCGCATCTGGGCCGAGAAAGATTTTTTGATAGTTGATTTTTCTTGCTTCAGGGACCTTATAAAGGGGAGGGGTTCGTATTTGCTCATTGTTCGGAAGGGGATCGCATTTCAACTTCCTGACCCCCGAGAAAATGTTGCTGAGAATTGCTGGTCTTACTGTTTCATTGTGATAGGAACATTTCGGGAAATTCTCGGGAAAAGTGTAGACGTCAGGTAAGGATAAAGGATAAAAGTCTTCGCCGTTGATCAATCCCTTTGTGGGATGCGGCACGCATTCTACTTCCATTCAGAATCGTAGTGGCTTATTGAATGCGATGTGGCCTATACAATGACTTGCGGGGGCCAGCCGATGTACAAGTCAGTGTTTTATCCTCCCAGACGAATCTGGTACCAATTTACCGTCCCCGGAGGGTAGAAGGCTTGGTTGGCCTGGGCGGGTGTCGACCTGGGATTCGAACCCAGGACCGCGCGAGTGGTGAGCGCGCCACTTGTCACTACACCACCTCCGCCTGAAAGTCAGGTAATATTAAGAAATGGTAGAGAGGGGTCGTATTTTCCTCGTGGTGCCTTCCAGCTCGAGAGCTTGATGAGGAGGGAATCAGAGGGGAGGGTCGTACCAACTCTCTGAAAAAGAAGGGGTGGGCCGTACGGGTCTCGAATTCCCAACTGATGATGTGCCCTGTTGTACTAATATCTTCTGATGTGCGCACGTCAGAGCTTGAATCGCAGAGTCCTATATGTAAGGCTTGCGGACGGGTGTTCCTCTGGCTTATTGTCAGTGCTCATACTTAATACCTTGTGTAATCATGATCTGAAGCCTCCTACATATCACGGCCTTTCACTTTGAGTCAGATTACGAGACTAAGACTCCACCGCGGTCAGGAAGATTCGCTACAGTAAACACTACAAACAGGTGTAATGGGAGGCTAGTATCCAGATCCGAAGATCGAATCTCTGCGTCACAGATGGCTCCGGAAAGACATGAAAGAGCCTGTAGTACGATGGCCGTCATGATGTTCCCTCTGACTCGTTTTCAAAAATTTCAGAGAAATGCGGTCTCTACCATAATCGGCGGGGGAGTGGGCGAAAAAGTCGCCGATCAACCGGGTCAATATCATCAAAGTTTACGGCTGCCTCAGAGCAGAGGAACGTGATACGAGGTACCAGCGAAGATTAACCCAAATGTTCCCGATGAGGCAGCGAGCTGGCGCTCGCTCATCACCTTCATGTACACCAAAATATGAAGTCATCTCCAGTCGCGGCCTGAGTGGAGAACGCCTTTGGAATTCACGTGGCCTCCAAACAGCTGCGGAACTTCTGATGGAATCACGCCATGATAGCTACTGAGACCTTAGTACTCTTGATCCTGCAAGACCTCCAACATCGAGCAGCTCCGATAACGTCGCTACGGTGTAGGTCATCATCTTCACGGCAGTCGCCAAGGCGCGGGTTGATGGTATGGACCGGACGCACCTGGAATGGAAAGACCAATATTTTCTTCGTGGACCCCGGGCTGAAGCTGAGCGCTGGCGGTTACATCGACCAACTCAAGAAGAATATCTTCCCCACATGTCGTCGCCCGTACCTTCTTGGAAACTTTGTACTGCTACAGCATTGGGTGCCACCACGTGGAATCGAAGGGCGTTGGAGAAACTCTCGCCTACCTGGAATGGAAAGGGGCTGAGTACTTAGCTAAGATGAGATATGCAAGCAGGTCACCTGTACTGAATCCTTCAATTACCCGGTTCGGGCGGAGTTCAATAGGGTGGTCTACGGTGGCGGAGAAATCGACTATCTCGCTGATCTCAGGGACCACATCGCGGTTGCGTGCCAGAATCTCTCGATGGTGCTCGTCCAGAAGGCTGTGGCGGGGTTTCGTGATAGTATTTAATACGCTCTTTAATATGTGATAGAAATATGTGATCAGAAGTCACTTGTAACTTATAGTGCATCGAAAGTCAATGAAGCAAAAGTGATTTCCCCCCCCTTCGTAGATGCAAGTCGCTAGAAATCGTACGTTATGGAGGGTAAAGTTTAACGTTCAAGAACGTATTCGCTGCCCCCATTCATTCACATAGATTGACAGGAACAGCGTAGAAAAAATTCAACTTTTGGAATTAAACCTCAGCTTTTGGAGGGATACTTGCGCTGGCTTAGCAAGAGGTGAATGATTGTAAGCAACTCACATCTACGAAATGACATGTACATCCTGTGATTTTCGCTCCGAAGTTAATTGCATCTCGAACGGCATGTTGTCCTGAAAAACAATTTGCACCCGGTGTAAATTATTGCCAACCGCTTGTTGACAGCTTTTGAACCCATTGCTGACGGGGAAAATCTTCGAAAAATACAACTCCCCTAGAACGACCCCTTTCCCCACCCTACTCACAGCTTTCTTAGATTTTCCCAACTTCCTACTATTTTTCTATTTTTTCCGGGGTTTCCCGAGATTTTCATGTTTCCTCCAAAATTTTGTCGTCGACCGTGATGGGGGAAGGGGGGGGGGGGACGATCTTAGCAACACTACTAGTTTTCAGCTGTCAGAAAGAAAATATAGTTGTGGAATCTTTGGCGACTGACGACTTTTTCGAACCAAGTGCGACCCCCTCCGCTGGGGATTCCCCAACGTCTTACATGGTCTGACTCCAGATTCTTGCAAGTTGCATTCATAGCTCCAAGGAATGAACCCTAATTTTGCATTCGATTTCAAGAAGTGGACGAGGAATACGTGGAAAACTGTGACGACATTTGGCTTTTCTGGGTCGCGCTACAGCGTGAGTAGCTGCGGAGGTCTCATATCTAGAAGTGATCACGCTTCACTAGAGTCAAAATGTTACATTCACTACTGGCGGTGAATCAATGCAGCTGCGAGGGAGTCCACGGGCATTCTCTGCAACCGATGGTGCTCGAGAACGCTCAAACGCTCAAGAGCAAGGTGTACGGGTGTAAGGCCTGCAATGCTCTACGGCAGTGAGAGCTGGCCCATCTGCAAGAACCATGAAAGGCAGCTCCACTCAGCTGAAATGAGGATGCTGAGATGGGCCTGCGGCTGGACACGACAGAGTCAGAAACGAGGACGTCAGGGCGGTCACACAGACGGCTCCGATCCAGCTGAAGGCACGAGAGCAGCGACTGCGATGGTATGGGCACGTACTGAGGAGGCCTGAAGACCACCCAATAAGGAAGGCATTGGAATTCCAAGCATGATGGAGAGACGTCATCAAGAAGGACCTCACTGAAGTGAAAGCCACGGCAGAAGATGCAGTGGATCGGAACAAGTGGCGACGTCTAACAAGAACAGCGGACCCTGCGACGGCGCGGGACTAACGCTAAGGAGAAGAAGAAGAAGATAAAAATGTGTCGCATTATGGTGTATTGTTTCCCCAGCATTACCCTTCAAAAGTCAAAAGTGTTTACCTCTGAACGACGGTAGAAGTGACGGGTGAACGTTGATGATTCTGCCACGCCATTCTTCAACAAAACAAGCCGAAAGTACCCTCATATAGCCAGCAAGGCAAATGAGTTGGACACCTCTCGCACGGAGAGCCTGGAATAGAAACAGATCAATGTATTATTGATGTAGAGTCAATATCTCGGCACCTGAGACTGCGTGCTTAGGTTATTACTGGGCTGGGTTTGGCGCGGTTCCAGCTCGTTCTCCACCACTTGTTGAAACGCGGGCGGCACATATGTTGGTGAAAAAGTGGCTAGCGCCGCGCCAAGCTCAGCACTCTGACACACCTCAGCGTCTGAAGCAAACTACAGTCGTCATCCGGGCAGGTGATTAGGCAGTGAAGGGGTCTAACAACCCTTTCACTGCCTAATCACAACAACTGTAAGACGCGGCCGCGGCGCGTCACGACCGCGGCGACCAGCTGTCTCCAGCCTATTTTCTTCCTAATTTTCAGTGTATTATTTACTTTTTTTCCAGGTGAATTGTTTTTGTCTTTATGAAGTAGATCAGAACCAGAAGAGATCAGAAGATTCTCGTATAGATCCAAAGATTCTTTTTTTTTGTTTTTTAATACGGAAGTGCTTTCGCGAATTTTTTCAAAGGTAATTTGTCGTTAATTGTTTTGCTTTAAAATTATCAATGGTTCGCCAAAATAAGAGATTCGGCCAACCATAATATCATCCTGTGTAGAACAAGGAACAACTAATCTTAAGAAAAGCAGCCAAAAACCAATGGAAATTAGGGAGAAAATACTAAATAGACTGGAAACCAGGGCACATATTGGTTGGGGTGGCGATTTTAGTCGACTCTATACGACTCCCTTTTTTTGGGAGTTGGTGCGACCTACCTACGACCCCCCCCCCAGCCCTCTCTCCTTCCTCATCGAATCGAGCCGTCGAGCGGGGGGAGGAGGGGGGGGGTAAATGGCGCATGTGAAACAGGAAAAGCCGCGAGACAATACGACCCCCCCTCTACAATCAGATTTTCCCCAACTTCCTGCCCCTTTTTTCAAAATTTCCCGAAAACTTTCCTACTTTTTACCAAAAGATTTTGCTGTCGAGCGGGGGGCATATAGAACGTGAAACAGGAAAATCGCCAAAAGTCAACCGCCATTCCACAAACGCCAAAACCTGAATAAGATCCTCCTTCCGCCACTCCCACAACGCCAAAACGTAAATACGACCCCCTCCCAAAAATGATCAAATACGACCCCCTCCCTTTACAACGTCCATGAAGCGAGAAAAATCAACTATCAAAATAAATTTTTCTCAGCCCAAATACGACCCCCCCTCCTGGCGACCAAATACGACCCCCCTATTGGGGATTCCCCAACAACGATGTGCCCTGCTGGAAACAGCTGATAGCCACGGTACTGACGCGCCGCAGCCGCGTCTGTGACCCTTTGACCGCCTAATCAAGTGCCCGGATGACGATTGTAGATGATATATCACCATTGATCAGTCGGCCGTACTATGAATAATGTACGTGATTTTGAGGTGAGATGCCTAGCATACCTTACTGATTTTTAAATCTCCTTCTTCTCTGATCTGAGTGTGAGGAATATGCAACACCTCGATTCCCATCGCTTTGGCAATATCCATTCCTTTTACTCCTGGCTTGTTCGAAATTACTACTGCCACCTGAATAGGGAAGAACCCCTCTTGAGTTTGCATGCAACAAGATACATTTTCATAAAATCAACTCCGGGCGGTATGCCTGTAGCAGAGTTGCAAGATTGGGTTGAACATTAGATTGTAGAAGTATACATGCGCGTTTGACAGCAAAACCGAATTTGTTACAAAAATAACTGTTGATTATTTCATTTCAGGGGTAGTCCTCACTATCACCACTGACTATATTCCCCCGCCCCCTCCCTCAAATAATATATGTCCCTCTGGAAAAACTCCTTTGGTGGCGATCCCGTGCGTTTGTCTTTTGCTAAAAGGTGTTTATATCATGCAGTCAAAAGGGTGCCCTGGGCCCGGCGTTCGTTGGGGATTCCCATAGAGTAGGATCCCATCCGCCTCTGGGAAAAATGTTTTTATGGTTCTGGCTGGTACGACATCTGGTTTCCTTTCTTCTCACTTCATTGCACATAGAAATGAGTAGCGGTTGCCTTCTTTGACCAACCAAATAGTACCAACAATTCCCA